GAGACACATTCTGTGTCCCCAGGCCTGAGGTCAGTGCCACTACCCTGAACAAGAGTGAGTCTCCCGGTCTCAGTCTCCTGCTTTGAACAATGACAATGAGCGTATTTGTGATAAGTTAGATGCTGGAACTCGGAGTATCACTGATGTGTGTGTGTGTACTTGTGTGTGAGCATGTATACCTGGGTGAATGTTAGTGTGCGCACACACATGCACTGTGAGCCTCTGGCGGGGGCAGGAACATGTCTGTGCACTTTTGTGTGAGCACATGCATGTGTCTGTCATTGTATGATGTGTGCGAGTGCCAGTGTGTGAGGATATGTATGCATGTGTGGACAAAGATGTGTGCATGTGTGTGTGCATGAATGCATGTCGGTGGTGTACCCACACATGTGTCTGTACACACGTGTGCACATGTAGTGTGTGGCCATGTGTACATATGTGTGCATGTGCGTGTGGGTGTGCAAATGTGTGTGAATGTGTGTGCGCGTGTGTGGCTGTTGGTGTGTGCACATGTGTACATGTGTGAGCTTCTGTGTACACACTGCTCCCGCTCTACATAGCTCCTCTTCTCTGTCTGCCCCAGGTCAGGCTCAAGCCTCTCTCCCAGGAACGGCACCCTGAACACAGGCCAGCCCCCGTTAATGGCCCTGCTTCCCAGAATCCTTCTTCCTGACAGCCCAGCACAAGGGAGTCCTAATGGTGCGGGAGGTGGGGGTGGGGGTGGGAGTGCCATGTTGGGCAGCTAACAACAAGGTCAGCAGTTCAAAACCACCAGCTGCTCCACAGAGAGAAGGACAAGGCTTTCTACTCCCCTACAGGTTGTAGTTTCAGAAACCCACAGGGGCCGTTCTACCCTGTCCTGCAGGGTCCTTATAAGTTAGAACGAACTCAATGACTATGTTTTTGTTTGTTTGCTTGTTTGCTTGTGGTTTGGGAAAAACTGAGCACAGAATCACATGACTAGGTGTGCAAGGGGCTTCTTAAAGTCCCCAGGAAAACATCTGAGTACGTGTATTTAAGTGTGCGTGTGGCTGTGTGCACACCAGCACGTGTATGTGTGCATGTACATGTGTGGGTGTGTGAGCGAGTGTGCACACCTGGGTGTGTATGTGTGTATGTGTGTGCCCATCTCCTCACTTTCAGCACCTGTGCCCCGCAGTGAGGAAGAGGAGGGGTGTCAGTATCTTCTACATCATCTTTGCCCTCCTTGCTCCCAGCACCCCTAGCCCCCTTCCAATTGCCTGAGGGCCCAGCCCCCCTTCCCAGAGCTGGGACTCTGGTTCCCGAAACCCTGGGGCCCATCTTCCAACTGGTGGAGCAGACCAATGCGGAGGCCCCACGCCTGCAGGTGTGAGGTTAGCTGAGACATAAGTCCTCTCATGGGACATGGACACTGAGCAGCCTGGCTGCTGGGCCGGCTGCCCACTTGAGGAGGTCATCAGGCTGGTAAGGGCTTGGTCATCCGCCCGAGCCCTCTTCTTAGCCCTGGGATGGGAGCGGGACCCTTTGCCAGGAGAAGCTGTCTCTCCCTGCGTCCAGCATCCTGGTCACCTGCGTGTCCCGCAGTGCTGACGCAACACCCTGGGAAGGGACAAGCTGCGAGTGTTTGTCCTGGGGGAGTGTTGCCCCACCCCCGTTACTGGCCACTCACCTGGCCGCCACCCCTGTCACCGGCCACTCACCTGGCCGATATAAGGCGAGCTCTTCAGCACCTCCACTCACACCTCTGCCACCTCTGCTACCATGACTCCATTCCTCATCTTCGCCCTGCTGGGCGCCGCCGGTGAGTGTCCACAGTCAGGTTCACCTTGCAGCCTCTCCTGGCAGACCCTGGCCCACCTGGCCTGCTGCCCTCCTGAGCGGCCTGTGAGCTGGCGTGCTGGTCCTGCTCACACCTGCTCCGCATCACCTCTGCCCCTGCTCCTGGGGCTCCCACCTTCTCCCAGTCTGTGCGTCCCTACCCAGCATCCATCAGCATCCAGGCTTAGGTGGGGGGTCCTGAGGGTGGGCAGGAGGAGGTGGTCCTGGAGTAAACTGGTTGGGAAGGCTAAAGGCGGGAAGATGGAGGTGGGCACTCTGACAGCTCAGAGGCGTCCCCGCTGCAGCTGTCCTTGGTCCTGACCGAACCTGAAGCAAATGCAACAGCCTTTGCGTCTATGGCAAGTTGTAGCATCCACACAGGGCAGAGCTGTCCCTGTGAGTTTCTGAGACTCCAACAACCTCGTCTCTCTCCTGCAGAGCGGCTGGTGGTTTTGAGCTGCTGACTTTGCAGTTAGCACCCTAACGGGTAACCACTGTGCCACCAG